AGTCGGTACATACCAGTCAGCCAGGGAAAGAATGTCTATGGACTAATTGTATCGTACGTTAAATTTTTCTGTCCTACATGACCTTTATGAACTGATGAAGTCGTTGCGAAGGAGGTGCAGAATCAACCGACTTGACGCCATTTTTATTTTACGGATAAGTGTAATCTAATAACCTTGCGCTGATATTTTAACCGATACTGATCCGGTTATGGTTGGACCTATAGATGAATGCAACAACATCAGGTGCATGGTTTGTGGGTTGCAGGCTTGTACGATAACAAATCAAATATACTTTTAGGACAAAATGTGACGGCGAAATATGCGAAGGAACATCAAAGCAGCAGGCATCTGCAGTGTTGCAATATCAGACTGGACAATGCACGCAATATGAATTTTGTTGTTAAGTTCCATTTACGTGATAAGGGTGCCGGTCTCTCCTCCCAGGAGCCGTAGGATTGCACTCTGCATCCTGTCAACTAAACTAAGCCTTCAGTAGCATCAGGACTATTAAAATAAGTACCTCACCTTCAGCCTACAAAACACTATTTTCGCATTAACGTCTAACGGAGCGAGTTTAATTGCTCTCCGCTCCAGCGGACAAAATATGTGCTTTGCGCTCCCGATATTTGATGTCTCTCGGCGAGTAATGCACTCCACCAACATCACATAATACTCCATAAATATTCAGAATGTAGTTAAAATGAAGAATATTCGCGGTATATGAGCGCCGGCCTAAATGGGATTTGGCCTGATGGGAATGCACGGCTGTTGTTATGTACTCCTCCTGAAACATGCCAGTTGTACATGTTCCCTTACGGAATTGAAACGATATGGAGAAATAAGTCATTTGTTATTTTACCTTAGACCAAAAAGGGAGTTTAATGCTTGCAATGAATTTATTTTATGCGTAAAAGGGTAAAATAATATCATATTATATCATGCGCTCTGTTGGCCTTGACCAGCAGATGGTATAAATGTACATTTGGTCTATTATTTTGGGTCATTGTTAAACATGAATATGTGTCTACTGGTGTTGCGCTGTAGTTGTGAGTACTTGCGGGAGTTGTATATTTTTTAAGATTAGCGTGGGTATACTGAAGCGATCGTAAATGTGGATAGACGGTAGGGATAGTTTATCAGAATTTGTGAATAAATCTTGGCAGAACAAACGAAACTTGGAATATGTAATTATTGTTTTACTGCTGATTTCCGAAGAATCAAGATTGCAAACTGCAGCCGAATTAACCCGGAGTATAGTAGCATACGTTAGGTGGCTATGAAATATGCTGAAATAATCAACCCTCAGGGTTTGGTTATCGAGACATCTACTGAGCTGTCTGAATACTTACACCTGTGTGCAAAATAATGATAAAAGTAACTCTTATTCATGTGAACCCCGTGGATATGAAACGTCAAAATACAGGTATTGAATAATAACATATTTCTACCAAAAATGCTTTAACACTTTTTTGAAAGAGTAGCAATCAAAGTTTTAATATCATTAGATAGATGACTGCATATGGCGGCACACGTATACTCGGGACTTTTGCGATAAGTGCTTAGATTGTAATTAGCGAAAGATATATCCTTATTGTTGCGAATGTTTTTGCTGACCCTCAATGTATGTAAATTTATTATCATTTTTAACGAATAAACAAGCCTAAAGTATAAAAGCTCTGGGAAATGCCAACATATAATTTGACTGAAAGATAGTTCTACAAGTCTGCAGAAAGCTCAACGATAATATTAACCTTATAATCGTTTTGTGTAATATGAATACGCGTTGAGCATCCACAGACCAACTGCAGCAGAGGATAAAATATTTCAAATGAGTATACAGGGTGTTTCACAACTTATCCGATATATTTTAAGCACATAGGCACTGTTACAAAAGAAGTTGATTTCTCAAAAAAAAAGAATTAGGACACGCATTAATAATTTATTGTAGCAAATGTACCAAACAACTGACGAAAACAAAATGCCAGGAATTTTTTGTTTTTCCATACTGATAAGAACGTGTAAATTAGGTTTAACCTGTATCGTGGGTGATCTGAATGAAGAACGGTCGATTTTTGTGGAGTTATATGAGAAAGTGTATTGCGAGTTTATGTTTTTAGTTATTTATTAATAAAAATGGCACATATGTATACTAATGAGGAGTTAGTGGACATTGTTTTAGCGTACGGAGAAGCAGGGCAAAATTCGCGAGCGGCTTCTCGTTTGTATGCACACCGATTTTTGAATAGGCACATACCACATCACGAAACGTTTAGTTCAGTTGTTTTACGTGCACCTGCTAGTAATATAATGAAATGGAAACAATTTTGAACAGCTTCTATAAGTAAGTGAACTGTTATAAACTGTATTATTTTATTATCTCGATTTCTGTAGGACTTTTATTACATTTTTTTTTGAGAAATCAACTTCTTTTGTAAGACTGCATATGTGGTTAAAATTTGTCGGATAAGTTGTGAAACATCCTATACACGGTTGCAAAATAAACATTCAGAAAACGCTTAGTGCTCATTATATATTTTAAGTTGCGCAACGCATACGTTGAACTTAGCTTTTTCATGGCATAATCTTGATGGTCTCTTTCATTTACTATTACTTTGTCACAAACTGCATTATTTAACTTCAACGTAACAGAAGTTGGTAACTAACGTTTATAATAGCACATATATTTGGTTTTACTTTCATAAACTATTTGCTTATTACTAGTTATCCAGGATTGAAACTGATCTTTAAAAACTTTCTATACTCACAGATTGATAGTTTGCTTTTAGAGAAGGCACGTCTACATTTCAAGCAATATTGAGAATGCTCGAGAACATTGTTGGAGATAATATGAATGTTGTATTTCGACCTCTCAAAGTCATTTAACTGTGTTTCACATGATTATTAGTTGAAAAATTGATTCATTGTGAGCTCAGTGAGCAAAGTACGAACCCTATTAAAAGTTATCTTAGCAAGCAGTCCATATTTTTCAAGGGGAGAGGGGCTTAGGCGCAGTAATATGGACCAAAACCACCAAACTTCACTTCATGGCGAAATACATAATCTTTAGGTTTTTGAATATTCTGGTGAAATGAAACGTGAATGATTTGTATATTATTTCCCTGTTAGAAATTTTTTAGTACAACAAAATAACAAATCATCCATCATCTCTTGGTCCATCTTTGATAGAACTTACCTAGATGTACAATGCACAAATGGTAGTGCACCTTTCTGGAGGTATTTACGCCCAATCTTTTTTGTAAATGATGTCATATGGTTCAAAATGATCAGAGCAAATTTTAAAATGATTGTCCACAGTTCAATCTTTGCAGCCCCTTGAATTTATAGAGCAAGTTTGCAAAAGTATGAAGGCGTTCCGACGAAATCCTTTAAAAAGATCTAGAAAATAAAGTATAACCCCATCTCCCATATTTTGCATTTTTCCAGTGTTGTAAACTTTTATTATCAATCATCAGATAGGACTCAACATCTTAGTAATGTCATATATGAAATGAAACATATCTGATAAATTCCCAAGTGAAAGCACAGCGACGCCCATGGATATCCTAAATTAATACCGGTGGAATGACCTTTTTTCATTCGGCTTGTACCGCTCTTAGCAAATTATGCAAAAAGTCTTTTGGAAACTTCTAACACCACAACTATTTGGTGAGGTATAGAGAAGAAAACACATTTCCTGACCAAAGGAAGCATCGCGGTAACTCGGTACTTTGTTTTTTCATTCAGCATATAAAACAACAAATAGACAATTTTAATGCACACGAAATCTATTCATGGATAATAGCTAATTAATTTCATTCTCATTATAATCTAAACTGCCTTCTACCTTATTTATATTATCAAATTGATCTGCAACTAACGAGGCGCCGAAGAGGGAACCTGTTAAAATAATCCCAGCTTTTATGGAAATATTGAAATTATTAACTCTGACACATGGAGATAGATAGCCTTTCGTATAGATATTGAGGTTCGTAATCAATTTCCAATTTTGTTTTGCATAGACCGTGTAAAAGATTAACGCTGTCCTGACTGATTGATAATTGAAATTGTATGTAAATGTCAGTTAAGCGTGCAGTTAGTTTTATCTAGACAGTCGGTTCTTTCAGTTTATCAAATGCTGCATTATCAGATTCAGAATTTATTACCCAGAAAGCTTCTCCGTGTACCTGGAAATATTAGATTGAAATTGAATAACATGAGCCGTATTGATCTGTTTTCGGAGCTTCTGGTACAATGTCCTTCAGGGAAGTTTGGAGTAGTCCAGCGTTTGTTTTTGGTTGGTGAGCTTAATACAATTATGTAAAAGAATAATGATGGATGCTGCAGCGAGTGTCTAGAGAATCTCACACTTCGGTCAGGCAAGGCCAGCAGAGCACTGTCGAACTTGTCTGTCTGGAAGTGGCTTACCCCTGTCCAAAAAGAGAGCTACCTCAGAGTTTTTGACTTTACGTTTCAGGCTAAGGATGTTTTCTCAGAGGTAAGAAGCTTTCACGATATGTCAAAGACTAGGGTAGAGTGGGGTTAACTGAACAGCTAGGTTAACTGAACACATCGATGTTCCTGCCATCTAGTAATGACAAATTAAACTTGATTTTGCCTGAAAGCGTCTTTTGTTACGTGTGTTGACACTGTTCGGTGCAGATTTCTTTTAAGTCGGTTCTAATCTCGTAAATCAGCAAACATATTTTTAATGGCCGCCACGTAAAATTTGTGCTCCCAAGTTTTTTTGTGTTACAGTTAGCAAAATAGAGTTTTAAAATTGGTATGATCTATATTTTGTTCCAGTAAGTATTTTAGCATTTATTTCTTGTGTTTACCTAAGCTTAACATTATTTTTTAATCAAATTTTTCTTTTGCTTATGTATTGGTGCACAGTGGGTATAACTGGACATCTTATGTATGTGGTTATATGAACAGGTGTTCAGTTAACCTGCGTTATTTATTTATTATTATTTTGTCTACAAATTTAGTTTATTTTTTAGAATATGCCAAGTAAAAAGACTACGTACTACCAATAACAGATCATATAGTGTAGCAGATCTTAGACAAGCATGTGAAGAAGTCCTGACACATGGTCGAACAACTCGAAGTGTTGCACTTCAGTTTAAAATCCCAAGAATGACTTTAAAAAGGTATGTCGATAAATGTCGGGAAAAAAACAACTTGGATATAAATTTTCGCCCCAACAACGAACATCTTTTGGCTTTTAGTCCCGATGAAGAATTACTTCTTAAAAAATACTTAGAGCATGAATCTAACATTCACTATAGCTTGTCTTCTAAACAAGCTCGTATTCTATAAAAGAAAGTTGGTCCCGTGAAGCAATGGCAGGCAAAGAGTGGATGTTTAGATTTATGAACAGGCACAACTTTTCGTTGAGGACGGCAGAACAAACAAGCTTAAGTAGGGCAACCAGTTTTAATAAGACAAATGTGGAGGCATTTTTTAAAAATTTTTAGAGATTAAAGAGAGATATAATTTGCAATCTAATGATATATACAATCTAGATGAATCCGGTGTAACCACGGTCCATAAACCTCCTAAAGTTCTTGCAATTAAAGGAAAAAGAAATGTAGGCCAGATGACGTCGGCTGAAAGAGGGACGCTCGTAACTGTTTAGTATTTCCCCGAGTCCACTTTAAAGAAAATATGCTCCATGGAACTCCAGCTGGCTCTAAGGGTGGAGCTTCGCCTTCTGGATGGAAGAACACTCAGTTGTTTCTTCCTGTGTTGCAGCATTTCGTACAAAACGAGAGACCATCTAAAGAGCATCCCAAACTAATAATCCTTGATAATCATGAGAGTCACTTAGGTATTGCAGCACTAAATTTTGCTAAGCGAAACGGTATACTCCTTTTGACATTGCCACCCCATTGCAGCCACAAGCTGCAACCATTGGATTTAGCAGTATTTGGGCCATTTAAAAAATATTATGGTGCAAGTTGTGACAGATGGATGGTAAATCATGCCGAAAAACCTATCACTATTTATGACATCGGAAGTCTGGTTGGAGAGGCTTTTTTGCAAGCGTTTACTCCAAAAAATATATGCAGTGGATTTCGTGCAGCAGGAATAGAGCCGTTTAATGACCTAATATTTTCCCATGAAGAATTTCTTTCGTCATATGTTACAGATAGACCAGGGAAAACATCAGAGGAAGAGGTACCACAATCTGGGTCGTCACAAGATACATCACTCTCTAAACCGATTCAACATGGCATGACAGATCCTGTTCTGTCACAATTTCAGCTCTCACAATATCAAGAATCACAAGCCGGACCATCACAAGCTGAATCGTCGAGCACTGCTAAACTACAAACTGAAAAATCACAAACCAAACCGACTTTATCTTCAATTGAGATAAAAAAGCCGACATTACAAATTATAACTCCTGAACAGATCCGTCCTCACCCCAAAGCTGGTGAACGAAAGTCTACAATTCGACGAAAGAAAGGAAGATCCCTGATTTTGACAGACACTCCTGTCAAAGAAAACATAGAGGAAGAAGCAAGACTTCGAGAAGAAAAAGCACACAAAAAAAAACAAAACAACTAACAAGAAAAAAGAGGCAGTAAAAAGACGTATTCTAGAAGACAGCTCTTCTGATGATGAAAGTGTTATCTATGAAGAAAGCTCGGATTCTTTAGAAGAATTTGATGCATATGACGATAGTCCACAAGCTGTGACAAAAGGCGATTTTGTAATCGTGAAAGTGTATGGGCAAAATAAATTAAATTTCAGACATTATGTTGGTGAAATTATTCATGCTGTAAATGATGGTTTTGAGGTTACTTTTTTAAAACGCCACAAAGAAACAAAATATTTTTTTAAAAATAATGAAAATGGCTTTGTTGTAAAAGCTGATATTGTTTGTAATTTACCCATGCCAGCCAAAAGTAACAGCGCTAGATATGCCAACATGGTGTCATTTCAAGTTGATTTAAATGAATTTGACTTTACAGTTTATTAAAATTACCTACAATATTTTCATACATGTTCAGTATGTTTGACTTTCCAGTTTATTAAAAGTATCTATAATACTTTAATGTATCTTCAGTATGTTTCTTATTATCAATAAAAATGATTGTTAAAAAGTGTTGACATATTTTCTATGATATATTTTTTGCATTTTTATTATAGCTAGTCGCCTTATTCGCTAGAGGGCTAGACTTGTATTTAGGGTATTAGGTTGGTAATAGTAAATGATGGAAAGCTTGCCAGCCTTCTTATGGTTTAGTGCCCTGAATTTTCCATGCATGGCCATTTTTGCTGTTTAACAATTTATGACAAATTTATTGTATATTTCTGTCAATTCAATAACAAAAATGGCGGCGCATGAAGATTCCAGGGCACTAAATCATAAGAAGCTGACAAAATTTCCATGTAGAAAGTGTTAAGTAAGAGTAAATTTAAAAAATATATCTTATTTGTACCTCTGTTCAGTCAACCTGCATAAGTGGTCCAGTTAACCTGACAGGCAGGTTAACTGGATAATTAGATAGGTTTTAAAAAAAGTCAATCTGTCATACACATAAATTTAAATTTAACTTTAAACATTACGTTTTCCAATTACTTACATAACTTCCAAAGCATGGTCATAAAGGTATTTTCTTAGCAACGATTTTCTGATCAAAAACAAAGTTTAAATTTTGATTGGTCCAGTTAACCCCACTCTACATTATAACTCAATTTCAAAAATTTGAGGGAAGGGGTTTTAGATTGTGGAGAGTGTAAGCGTGCATCCTTGGAATAGATGTCAGAGGTTCTATTATTGACAAACTTCTTATCCGCATCTGTTAGATATAAAGTCGTAAGCGTGGTAAACTAAGATTGTAAGTTTAAATCACGATACAGATTAACACCTCTCGAGTAGTCCGTGCAACTGCACTTTAACCAACGGGTCGTCAGATCACTTAGTTCCACTCTTACGTATCTCCACGGCCCAGGGTTGGTTTGCCTCCCTTATTATTGACTTTCCTCGTAACACATCTGTTATAAATAAACCGAAGACAAGACAGAATTGCGTGAGTAGTGTAGAGTCAAACGTGCTTTGTGTCATTTTTCCAAAATCTCTTTACCATTCCTTATAATTACGGAGATGCGCAAAAATCATCTTTATTGATGATGATGTAGCCCCTAACCTACCATCATCTCGCTACATGAAATGTGAGGTTTGAGTAGATCATTTTTTGGCACTGTGGATTGAGACAATCATCACTCAGAGGTAAGAAGTCAAAAAACATTTAATGTAACCCCTGAAACTGTTCCTATGGTTATCTCGATAATCCATATCCATAGGTGTTATGCTGACTAAGAAGTCTCTTTTTTCAGTCACCTGACGACCTCTTTATTATACCAGCTCTGAGCAATAACTTTTAAGAAGTATATATTAAAACTATAAAGTGGTTAGTAAAGATAAATTCATCAAGTTCGGGATTAAATTCAGATTCCAGGGCAAAGTATACTTGCTTCGCTTGCGCTAGGGAAAACGATAAAAATCAAAAATTAACCATGAAACCTAACCTCGTTGTATTCAACTGAAGGAATCAATTCTAAACTGCGCGTTGGTTGATATGATAGACACGACCGTCCACTCCAGACCTTGTTTTTTATCCGCCACACTCAGCCAGAGCTAATTACTATTCTAAACATAGAAAATAACCTATAGTTTTTCTGCTACAAATTTGCCGTTTCTGTTACAGATTAGACGGTTTGAATAATTGTTTGTTATATTTCTAGACAGACGAAAACATTTCAGGTTTAGATATAAAACTCGGAATAAATCTACTACTTCATTTATACCTTTGTCATTTAACACTAAATTCCTGACAACAATGATTTATCTTATTCGTTATACGTTACACATAGAGATTCGCGACCTACCCACCAGATAGATACTAAGTGACATATAAATCCGAACATCCAGTTTAAATGGTTTTATTTTAATAAAATTTTGTATAAGTACTTAATGAAGCATAATAAGTAAATGATAAAAATTTCAAAATGATTGCACTGCTTTAAAGCCCTTTGACCTTTAATAATGTGTGGATGCACCCTGATGTGCTACGCATTCTCCAACGCGCCTAGGCATGCTTCTGATCACGTGGTCAATGTCCTCCTGTGGTATCTCATTCCAGGCAACCACCATCTCCTCTCGAAGTGCTTCTTGAGTCTGAGGAGGACGTTGCAAATTGAGCAATCTCCTACCCATCATAGCCCACACGTGCTCAATTGGGGATAACCATGGTAACAATGTGACATCATTATGTTGAAAGAAGTCTATTGTGACTCTTGCAACATGTGGTCGGGCATTATCTTGTTGGAAAGTTGGATCTGCCAGGGTGTCAAGATAGGGTTAAAGATGGGGTTCTAGAACTTCGTGGATATGACGCTGCACGTTCATGTTACCTCTGATGAAGATTAAAGGTGACCTGGAACCATAAGCTATAGCACCCCAAACCATAACTCCAACAGTGTGATGAACATGTCTTTCAACAAAAAACTGTGGATTACTCCTTTCACCACGTCGCCTTCTAACCCTGGCACGACCATCATGCATGCCTAAACAAAATCGAGACTCGTCACTAAAGACAATACTGTTCCATTCCTGATCCCAGAGTGACCGTTGTCTGCACCACTCAAGGCGATTACGTCGGTGTTCTCGAGTTAAAGGGAGGACCCAGTGTGGCCGGTATGAAAACAAGCCAAAACTTCTCATTCGTTGGTAAACACTTCGCATGCCAATAGGACTTCCGTGTGCTGCAAACCATTCATTTGCAATGGACCTGGTAGTGGAGAAACGGTCCCTTAAGGCCAATAATCTTAGGCGGCGATCTTCACGGTCTGTTGTTCTACGGCGGCGTCCAGTGCCCCTTGCTCTTTGCGTACGGCCTTCTCGAAGCCATGCCTGACAACACCTAACCACAGTGTCTACACTTCTTTGCACTCTAACTGCAATTGCCTGAAAAGAAAGTCCAGCTTCCCGAAGTCCCACTATACGGCCCCTATCAAACTCACTAAGTTGACGAAATCGTATAGGTCTCCGTACTCTAGGCATCGTAACCGATCGTAAAGGATGTCAAGAACCAAAATCCGCACACGTTGATTCTTTAGTGCAGCTGAAATATTCATTTTTAGAGCGTTAGTGAATTAAAAAAAAGCAGTATAAAAACCGGAATGTCCAACTGATAAGGCTGGAAATTTTTTCACTTGTTATTTACAGTAAGATAAATACATTCACCAACTTTTATTAAAATAAAACCATTTAAAATGGGTGTTCGGATTTATATGTCACTTAGTATATTTTTTCGTCTTCTTTTCGCTTCAATCTATTAACAGAAGTAAATACTACTGAATCAGCCTCTTCAATAATTCAGAACTAACTAGTGGTCACGAAAAAACGGCAACTACCTATACCGGCAATTTGTCGAAATAAGCACCACGTATCTCAGACCACTCTATTTCACTCGACGTTCGACCCTTCTCGGTTGGGGTTATGTAATGGCACGGAATCACCCTTACCCCAACATTTTTTCACTCCCCCTATTGCTTTTACTGCGGTCAATCGATTCAGACAAGAAGGCGACATTTTTCTTCGCACTCAAACACGGACCTTTCTTCTAATGAAGACGCATTTCGCTGCCTTAAAATAATCGCGAAAGTTTCCTTTGAGCGAGGGGAAACGTATAGATTCTTTTTAGGATAGAGGATCTGTAGGGCAATAGCCCTTCTTTACCTCCGGAAAATCTTTACATTTTACTTCTTACGCCACTGAGCGAGGAAGCATTGTAATCGCAAAAAAATTCAAAAAGCAGATATTAAATTTTTTGGTGTTATGTGACATCGCGAAAAATCATGTCACACTAATTCATGACCCCTGTATAACTTGGAAACTACCGGTCAGATTTTGCATTCTATTTTGAGGTTATGTTACAAATAACTATTTGCATCAAATTGTGCATGCTCTCAATTTATATCATCTGTTATATCAGCCTGAAATTTCCTACAATTCAAAAAGACAACTTAGCCTCATAATAGGCGAGCGCTGACGCTAACACGGAGCAGTAGAAATCTAGAACTACTTAGCCTTTCTGGAGGAGAGAAAATACTATGAAAATCAAGGTCCAATAGCAACGATTTGTTGTGAATTGTAATCGATTGCCACATCATAATTAAATGCAGCTCGATTTGAATTAAATTCTAGTCCTTCGATCCGTACAACTTCATTTCTTGCTTCTCGTTGCTCGTCAGTTTGATTTCTTCGTATATATCTTTGACTTGCAGCATTACGAGTGCTGCGACCTAGGTTGGTACGTCAAATCGGTGGCATGTTGAAGAATCACAATTTTAATATAAGGCGTGATTGCGGTGAACTAACTTCCACCCGTGTTAATTATTTTTGTAAAAATATTTCTCAAAAAACTCACTTCACAAACTGAAAACTGGATAAAAGCTCTAATCGAATGGAATGTGCACTACTAATTAAATAAAACAATATTTTTTCATCGATAAACACTGTTAAACGATAATACAAATTTTCGGAGTGCGAGTTTTCA